TCGTGCCCGCTTGTATGTATGGCGTGGGCGACCTTGAGTGCAATTCTGAGTAAATGCACACTCAAATGTGAATGGGCCAATGGGAACAATAAAGTTGGTTTAGATAAACCGCGGTTGCTAGCGGAAAATATAAAAATGCTAGACTTGACAACTGTAGTCTTGGGGATGCTGTATCCACAACATTGTCCAAATCTGCAGTTTAGCATCAATTCGTTAGAAACAAATTGGCCAAAGTCACGCAGGCTAAGCTTTGATCGGTTTGCCAGTTACCAACAACGCATTCTCAGAGAACCAGCACACAACTCGGTTCTCGGTACATAGTGAAAGCAAGGCATCGTGCCAAGAGCTTTTACTGTCTCAGCTAAATGCCGGGTAATTTTTTAGAATGAGCAGCTTCCATGTACGGATTAGAGCATTTACGAGTTGTCGGTGTGACTATAGAATGATGTGAAACGGGAAAAGGTGTGGACATAAAACAGTTACCAATATCGATTTCACGACATTCTCAGCACTTACCTTACTTCATGAACGCAAACTCCACGGCACCCGTCTGCTTTTTGCTTCTTGGTAATAAAAAATCGTAGAATGCTGTCTACATTGGGGCACGTGGACCTGTTATTTGTGTCTCTTTGGAACCGCATGTTGCCTCGTCTTCCCTAACAGCTACAACGCCTCGGAGTACTTTGCTGAAGTGGTCGCCCAGTCGCGTGTCTGGCTGTCGTGTGTGCAGGAGTGGGTTAGCGTCTTCCTCACTTGCGTATTCGCCTTCGTCTCGACCATCATCTTGTGGAATTCGGTCGGCGCGGTCATCTGGTTCTTTTCGTTACGGTACGCTCCTATTAACTGGTTTATTGATTGGTATGTATAATGAATCATTGCACGTGTGCCTTGCTGCGTGTTGCAGGTTCAATCTTATCAACCGAAAGGTCTTCTACGAATCCGATATTGCTAGCTGGCGCAAACCGACCTCCGATGACTGACTCCTATTGGCAGTCTACCTTCCACATGAAGCCCGGTCGCGATGCATTTACTCCACCATCCTTCGGTGTTCTGTTTACTCCCGGATTACTTGCCATAAACGTGATTGGTCGTTCGTGTGTTAACTAAAATGTAGTCACTTTTGATGCCTCTGATTGGTGCGAATATGAGGCGCTTGATTCGATTATTATTTCATAGCTATTGGGTGGACGAGGTTTGTGCTGAGCAATACTATTGGTGCTTACACCAACACGGGAGCACTTTAAGCTAGTTGTTGTTGCTCTAGATTTCCAGCCAATGTTTTTTTGCTGGACATTGTATTTTTTGAGGAATTTGAGAGCCAGAGGCGAAGGTGGGTGATGAGGTGAACCAGAGCAACCGCAAGGCAATCCACCGTAGCCACTTCTCTTTAGGCAGGTAATGGGGCCCATTCCTTAGAGATTGCAGCTGACGCCGCCTTTAAACGCAACAAAGGAGTTGAGTGGTAGAAGTAGATTTGTTGTGTGTGTGGGAGGTTGGAAGGTGACATCATTTTGGTAAAATTGGATTTCACACACCACACACTAGGCAGGGAATCGAAATAATTTCTTCTTAGTCAATCTACCAATTGTAAATGCGCTCTCAATGCATGTGGGTTAAGAATGTCCTAACTCTGGCATGGTGATATGTCTGTTTGTAGGAGGAGATTACGTACATGCTATTCAATGCAGCTACACGTACCACAAGTGCACTGCGCACTTTTAATTCTGTCCAAATTTAGCAGTAGATCATGATAGCCCTAGCCATGCTTTTCAATTTACTGTAGCTCTTCATCTGATCGTATTTATCTTTGGGTTTTCCAAAAGTTGGTCGATGCGAGGGTGTCGGGAAATATGAGCGTAGGCGATCACTTTGTATTACAAGCTACAGGGAGCACGTTGGCGCCCCAAATTTAAAGTTTGCCGCCAATTTCAAGGCCTAATTAAGATAAACAAGTGCCAGAATGATGTGTGGTGATGGGTAAGGATCCACTTATGAAGGGCCTCAGCTCACTTGTGTTTTCGTGCTGAGCAGCAACCGAAAATCGGTGGGACATATAAAAACGTACACATGCTCTCTGACAATTATGTACACGTGAAGGGGATAATAGGAGACTATAGAAGAAAACCAGGAATGACATTTAAACCTTATTTTACAGGAAAAATGAATTAAGTTTTGTCAGTATGTGGCGTGTTTTTGTATTAGCCGCTATGTATTAGTTTGCAGAGGTTGCTGAACATGTAAATGAACAAATTTCAGAATGACCACGTTAGGAGCATATGTAGCGGGAAAGATTATGCTTGGCGGTGTGTGCGATGACGTGCTTATCACGATGATGAAGAAGGTTTTTAAAGAGGATTGATGTGTCAGAATATGCAGCAATGCTTTCACTAGCTGCACATTAGGAGTGAACGTGTTCAGCGAATAGGTTTTTGATTTTCCGGCTCATCGTATGTTGCATTTAAATCTACCTTAAAATCCAAATAAAATTACGTGAAAATGAGATGTTTGGGATCAAGAAGGATACTATAACATAAAGCGCTGTGGTTGTTTAAATATGGCAGGTGGTATGTTCGTAAAATCGGTTTTGAAAAATCACAACAAGCCAATGAGAAATTTTGCATTATGTATTCTATCGGATGCAATTCGTATCTCATGTTACCCTGGATGATTTTGGAATTTTCGAGAAGTTAAGGAATGGTGAGAAGATAATTTGACTAATTGTGGAAAAAGCAAAAAAATGTTGGGCCGAGGCGAATGATTTGTAAAAGAGTTAAGATGCGGAGAGTTAGATGAATAAAATGGGGAAAGGGATCAATAGCAGACCATGGGGCATTGCTTGATAATATAACACGCATTTTAAGTTAACCTCGGTTTTCGTATTAATATCTGAAACGTACTGTCAAATGCTGACTCATGCCAAAGAGGATAGTTTTCAAAAATCACTATCAGATGCAGACCGAGGTTAAATAAACTTTTTTAATAAAGGGGTTTCGTCATGATCGCCTCCATTGTTTTTACAAAAAATTGCTGGAGTTTGGGAGCACTACAAAAATAAATGTGAATGGTGTGACTAAAGTTAGCTGAATTTCCAACACCTATCAATTTTAATATATTGATATTCGTCAATAAAATGGAAAATTTTAATCTATAAATAAGCAGTGGTTCGTGGCTTAAAAAGAGTCTTTCAGGTTCTGCATTTCATTTTCAGAAACAAGTTTTAGAATAATTCTTAATAATAGTATCTGTATAGTAAAATTTTGGCTAGGTTATTATATTTATACTAGCCTCAATGCTTTCCACATGTTCCCGACTTTTTATTACGATATTTGTTTAAATGGTTTAAATATACTTAAAAACATTGATAAAGGATATACAATTGCAATTGAGGCCTTTTTGTCATTTAAGAGATGACAAGGGTAATAACAACGGATATGTTCATTTTATCGAAAAAATTGTATCAGTCCGTGATAGTTCTTAGACTAGTGATGCTGTATAAAATTAGGTTTTGGGGAAAATAGGAACATGTAATGTTTGTCCAACAGGATTCTTTCGTGTCTGAATTTATTCGGTCGGTTTTTCGGTATTTCGATTCTGTAGGATATGAGGCTTTTAAATTCACAATAGTCACAATTTACTTAAATGTCCTCGTGCTGTTGCATTTTTTCATGTCCACTTGTTCGCATTTCTTGCTTGTGTGATCCTTGCATACCGAAAATTTTCTAAGCTAAAACCTCTTATTTGCTTGGTGTTTTATCCTGTAATGATTACCTTTTTAGTCGCGTCGGAGGTGGCAAAAACCCCAGCCTTTGCTTCTCTCTGCCACATCACCAATTTCTGACAATCATGAACCGTCTTCTGACCATCAATGTGAGACTGAAAAAAATTCAATTAATGTACGTTTCTGAGAAATACTTATTATACCATGAATTGTAGTGTAATGAGGTGAATTTAAATTTTCTTTTCGTTTTATTGTGTTTCTCTTTCAGCCTTCACACTTTATAGTAACTCCTTCACATCCCTCAAATTGGGTATCGGTCTCCGACACTCTCGATCTTGCTCCATTTTCGAGACGAGCAATAATTGACTTTGGCAACAGCCTCGTTGCTGGTTCCAAGGCGTTTCGTTATTTGCGTCTTCGAAACCCACATCCTGAACCTGTAACTGTGAGTTGTCTCCTATGTTGCTAATTTCATTACGCGAATTTGCGTTTCAAGCAGAAACTCATTTGGGCCTCTATGTCACTGAGGCATATTCTGAGCTACATTGGGCTTTCTTATTTGCCTTCCTTCAAATTGTTGTCTTAAGGGCTGTGGTCAGGATTGCGGTCGCGCGATTTGGAAAAAGGCAGAGGTCAATTTTTTTAATTTGATACCTCACCTTTTTTATGTTGATGCAAAACCATCTCGGTCATCGAAAATGGAAGCGACGTAATGCGAATGCATGTTTCCATGTAAACCTTCTTTATTATCTACTAGCGGGATTTCTTGCCAACTTTTGCGTGTGTTTTGTGCGGACAGTCTCCGCGTATCGTCAAACAAATGTGCTTCAATGTCCACATACCAAAAGTGTTTGGCTCAAACAACGTCTTTTTTATTTGTTTGGCTCTTTTCAGGTTCATTGCAAACGCTACCCTTCAGGCGACGAATTCGCCATTTTTTGGCTCCTCACGGCCACCGAGGATGTCGAGAATCTAGTGGGCATAAACCGGGAGACCCAGGCTCTTGTAGATATTTCCAACCCACCCATAAGTTTGCGGTCCTGTCCCTCAGTTCGCTTGGGTGCCAACAGCGAGTGTCTTCTGCAAGTGATTTGGTCACCCAAACCCCTTCCAAACCCTCTACGTCTCGCAGACCGACAGCCCTCTCCCTCTGACCTCCGTCATGTCCTCCAGTTTCGTGTCAACCGCATGGCAATCGTGGAAGCTGTGGTGGTCGCCTCGAGTGTGAAGCAGCCCGTTGACAAAAAAACCTCGAAGAAGCCACCCATTGAGGTAAGTTTTTTTGGCTTTCCGCCAAAACAATTCTGCACCTTTGGTGTCTGAGTAGCTTATTTGGGAATCTGATTCATCCTCCACTACTTAAGGTGGAAAGCATTTTTCACTGATTGTTCGCATCTATAATTGGGTGGTTCTGTTCGTTAGATTTTTATTTTGATTCCAGTTTTACAATTGATAATAAGACATTAGCTCGCTTATTGTGTTTTCATTGATCAAGTCGACTGATTCTTCGATATTTTAGGGTACCAAAGGCGTCGAAAAGCACAACAGACCAATGGGGAGTGGCAGCCAGTGCTTGTCCTCTGCCAGCTCTTTCTCCCACATCAGAAATTCACGTCTCTTTGAGGTAAGCTCACATTTGAATCTTCTGCTCAAATATCCACTTGGAGTTGAGGTGTTGCGATTTACAGCTACTAGATCCTCAGAGTGTGAACATTCGTGTTGTAATTTAACGGTTCTACCTGTTTTAGACCACAGGAACATCGTCACTGCCATTCGGCATGAATGCTTCACAAATCGACGCAGATCAGACAATCGTCCAGCGCACTGTCGAACCTCGCTCTCGATCGGGTTCTCCAACACACTTGCGCCTCCACTTGGGAAGCGACTATCCCATCCACACTCCTGTACGTTTCTTGGCAATCAGCCAACCCTCCCTATCCACGTGTAATTCTAGGGTTCTGCTTTGTATGCTTTCACGTGCTGTTGGAGTTGCCTCAATGATCTGAATTGACGTGGTTGCCACCTTTCTCAATGGCTATTGGTGAAAAGTTGCGTTTCTTGGTCTATTCATGCTGGTGTCGTTGTCGTTTGTGCTGTTTCCTTCCTCTGGTTGGTTTGATTTGCTTTTTCATGTAATCCTGACGCGTGGATCGACTTGTAGTCAATCGTGTCTCATTTTGCACGTCGCAAAACACTTTCGTTTAAAACCTCTGTGGTTGTAGTTCACTGAGTCGTTTTAATTTCGTCTTTGCTTGTGCCCAATGGCATCAGTCAGTGCAAACTAGCTGCAGTAGGCTTGCATATCTGACGAAATGAACATAGCCACTCTCTTTACCCCCCACTCTCCCTCCTTCTCAATTGAGTACCAACCACCCGACTGCCCTTAAACTGGACCGAAAGCGTGAATCGTTTGGTCTGTCTGATCGCAGACAGCCGTGTTTTTACTAAGAGCTGTGTTAATTCTCATTTTCAAAAGGACTCCTCACCGTGACATTCGAAATGAAAACTAAGCAAGGTCGCTATTCACGAAGGTCGGACCTTGAGATGCTCCTAAGTGGACCAATCTTGTTCGGTGGCGTGAAGGAGTATTCTTAAAGCTCTAACACACTTTATATCAGCACTCTTGTTAAATCCGAATTTTCGTCAGGTTTCTGCATGACTTGTGTGTCTTGGCCGTTGTAGGATGAGGTGTTCGCCAAGCCGCTTCTGCTGCCGCAAGGTTCCAGCCGCCTCCCATCGACTCCCTCTCAGACGACCCCCTGCGAGCGGCGCTCAGCCTCCGAAATCCGCAAACAAGGTCAGTGACCTAGCACTCCCCACAAGATAGTACACCATCGTGTTGGCCCCGCCTCTATTTGTCCGTTTGCTAGTCCCTCTGTTCTCTAGCCGCTTGTCCGATAATTTTGTAACCTTACAGCAGTGCTTCGTTCCGCCCAACGATCTCAGTCTGTCGACGCAAACATCCACGAGGGGGTGGGTTCAGTAGGACAACTCTGCACCAGAGCAACACCGGGGCGAACTGTTTCAACCGATTGTCTTTACAGAGGAAGACCAACGTTGCCAAGGACACCCGAAAATGAGACTTCCTTCATCTCCCCCGCACTCCTCTCTCCTTTAATTAAGAAAGGTTAGCTCTGAGTGCCTACTGTTGCCTTCGCTTCCTCAGTCTCACTCACCACTAACCTTCCGCACCTAGACACCACCGTCCTATTCAACGCCTCACTTCCGGCGTCCTGCGGCAACATCTTCGGCTGGGATCCCCTGACTGCCCTCTCCGAGTCCACTGAACTCGGCTTCACTCGATGGCTGAATCACGTCTTCACGAGTGGCTTGGCCACGCGCCAATCCCTGCCCACGCCGCGGACACACCTGGCCTTCACGCAAGGCCAACTGGGTGACCCGGGGGAATCGAGGGCGGCCCTTGTCCGTCTGCTTCACTCGCCGGCGTTTTCAGCCCCGGCCCATCGGATTGAGCGCGAAGTCGATCAGAAAAAGTTGGCCATCAACTCCGACCTCAACTTTAAGGCCGACAAGGGTGGGTAATTTGGGGCGTTGGGTCAGGATGCTTCTAAACTAGCGCTCTCGTCCACCATTTTTCCAAGATTTGACGTATAAAAAGTCGTGATTTTGAAAGTATTCTTTTTATTTAAACGTTTCAAGTTTATAATAACTGTGCCTGTAAACCTCTTTGAAGTTCAATATCGAAGTATGATTCCATTTGCTTTTTTTTTTCAATTTCTTATTTTGCTGCCAACCAAAGGCCACATAAACGTCAGTTAGTTAGAAGGTACGAGGAGACCTTTGGACACCGTTTCTGTTGACCAATGAGGACCGCTTTTGTTTCAAAACTGCTTTCAAACGTCAAATTTGACCACAATAGACACCCGAGGTAATTGACTGATTGATGTCTAACAGTTCGAAGTGGATTGCTCCTTCGCCATCTTCTTTGGATGAAGTCCTCCTCGCGATTGTTGTGGACTGGTCTTCCACTTCGACAGATCCAAGGTCGTCGGTGTTCAACATTATGATGTGATCATCCACTATTCATCACCAGTGAGACGCCTGTCCAAAAGTGGTCTTTGAAGTTGTTGTGGGCCCCAGCATGTGGCCTTGAACCACGCCGGGGTCACTGAATTAATCTTCGCCCGATTACTCTTCCCTGAAGAAAAATATCGGAGAGGACGTGCACACAACCGTTTACTTCAGAGCTCAACCACGTTGGTGTCGTGTGTGGGGTTTGCGCGTGTGTATTCATACCTCAAATGCGTGAGTCATAGATGCGCTAACACTGAGACCTAGGTGTGAGGATAATCCAAGATGAATATTCCTGTGAATGAGGGTGAGTTATGGATCCGCGCGGCTGGCGACATGCTGCGAGAAGGGGAACCCTGTGTCGGAGGGTGGAGCGAACGGATTGAGAAGTGTGTATAAACACGACTCACAACAAACTCTTTACCACAAGCAGCACGCTTTTGCCGATTGTCAACAACTTATGTGGTGCCCTTCGGTACATTTGACCCCGTTAATTTGCATATGATGTTTGCATAGATTAAACCAAGTTCCACAGCTCGCTCCCATGAGCTTGTGGGTGGATGTTCAATGTAATTAAAGTTTCATTAAGCCCACTTTCCAGGTCTCCAGCTGCGCACCTGCGACCTATTCACCGTGCACTACGCACCCGTGTGGTTGGGGCTCTGCGTGGACGCCCTCCTTGAGCTCGTCCAGACACCCACCTCTTTCTCCTCCTCCTCCACCACGAACGCGGAGGGTGGCGTCGCGAAGGACTCGAAGCCCCTGCCCCTGAGCAAGCGTCTCTTCAGCCTCCTCTTTGCCACCGTCCCTCCGATGCGCAGGCCCAAGAAGACGTCCGCATCGCAAGAACCAACCACCGGTGGCTGGAAAACGGCAGGCAGGGAGGCCCCTCGACCAGCATTGGGTTGGTACTATCGATTGAGATTGAAACTTACGCCATTTCTACCAACATTCTACCTCTTTTTTCACACCTAGGTGCCTCCTTCGTCGAGTACTACAATCAACAGATAATTAAACGCTGTCTCACCTTGATTTGGCTGTTGGATCAGGCAAAATCGAAGCAGATTTTGCGTTTTAATCCCTGTCTGTTTAATGTTACCGCGCCTGTCAAGGTGAGTCGCACTTTAATCGGGTGCCACCAATATGTGTTCCAGTGTTACACCAGGTAGCCCATACTTTTCCATTTCGACTAGTCCTCGGTGGAGGTATGCCAGACGCTTGGTCGGAATTGCCTCTCGCGGGAGACCAACCTGGCGCGCAGTCTGGCTGTCCTGGGCGCCGGTTTGTCCGTCTCCCAGACCGGTCTGGATGAATTCGACTTCACCGTCAACAACTTGGCTGTGGATCTGCGCGACGGTCTTCGATTGGTGTGAGCTTTCGAAGCTTTTTCTGTGTGTGTGTGTGTGTGTGTGTATGCGCATTTTCATTGGTGGTGATGCGTGCACATTGGATGGGCCCGCCTTCAGAATCCTTCACGGAAGGCATCGATATTAATCCACCGATAGTTCTACGATAGTTCTCCATGAAATGAACTAAAAACCTCGCTTTAAGAACTTTGGATTGTTGTAGGGGGGTTGCCATTGGCTAATGCGTAAGTTGTTCACACACTCCGGATAAAAGATCACATTCAATTCCCTGAATTACATGTGAACATGTAGAAGATTTTACTGTTATTTCTCAACTAGTTGGTTAGAGGAATATCACTGTTGTGCACGACAAATTCGCGGTACCATCGTCTTAGATGATGCAATTTGCAGATAAAGTGACTACTTTTGACGCTGTGTTTGACAGCGACCGCAACATCAGCGAGCCTTAGATGACGGCAACGCTTGACGTTGGCCTCGATCAAATCTGCGCCTTTTGCTTTTCTAGGAAGTTGGCGGATCTTCTTTTGGGGGAGTTGAGTGCCTTCCCCCAACCCACTGACCCTGCCACCTCTTCCTCCTCCTCCAACATCCCCTCCCACGCCGGTCATCTAATCACCTTTGTTCGCTATCCTGCCATCAGTCGGCTCCAGAAGATACACAATGTGCGCCTCGCACTCACCGCTTTCGAAGGTGCTGGTGGTGGCCAGAAGCTCATCACAGCTACCGGTAAGCATTTTTAAGCCACGTGTCGGGGCGGGGGTATGGGTTAGAATGTCTCTGGAGTTCTGTTCAAACGCGGTCTTATTTCGGGCTGAACCAGAATGCCTGGTTTGTGCCTACCCGCGATTCTTGGTTGCGCATGGACTTTGCAGTGGACTGAGCCTCTGAATTCCCGCAATCACCAGTGGCACGTCCATCGATATGAAACCACCAGTACGTTGTCTTACTTCTCTCCATCACAGGCAAACCCATCACCGAGCGCGACATAGTGGACGGTCACCGGGCGAAGACTCTCTCTCTCCTCTGGTGCATCCTCCTGCGTTTTCAGGTCACTGCCCTCGTCGACTTCCCTGCGCTCAAATCGACTGTGTACCGGTGTGTGCAGGAAGCGAAGGCTCACGCGACGGCCGATTCTCCGTCGCAGCTGCTTCGCTGCGCTGACGAGGTGTTCGGTAGCGGTCTCTCTGCACCCAATGACCTCAATCAGGTGGATCCTCTCCGTGAGATGGATCGCAATCAACGGGCATTAGTTTTGTGGGCGAGGGTCATTTGCTGTCGGTTCGGTGTCAACGTAAGTGTCATTCTCTGGCGTTGTATTGCTCCTTTGGCCGGGTTTCTAAGTCGGCGTTGTCTTGTTGGAGGTGAATGCGCTCATCTGATGTCACAATGGCACAGGCTGTCGTTCTGTTGGTCGTTGCTTCGTAATGACGACACCTTTTTTCAGGTGGCGAATCTGGATCAGTCTTTCTCGGACGGCCGTGCCTTCTGCTACATCCTGCACTCCTACATCCCGACTCTCCTTCCAAGGGCCCTGGTGCGTGAACCCACAACTCTGAACGCCCACAGATACCCGGACACTCCGCATGCACTACTCTTGCGGAATAACATGGCCAATTTCCGGCTGTTTCAGCATCGGGTAAGTAATGTTGCGACTTTCTTCTTTGTTCAACGACTAGTCAGACCTTTTCTTCGTTTATCTCTTGGAGTAATGGCCCTCAAATTGTTTGTGCTAATCCATGTGTGGACTGGACTCACGAAGTTGGGTCTTGTTGAAACAGTCGGCAACTCGTGTTTAGTGATGGTGGTGGTGGTGGTGTTGTTGGTTTTTGCAGTTGTCCCAACTGGGCGGTGTTCCAATGCTCTTGGACGTCGGACCTGACCTCCTCACCAACACGATTATCGCGCGAGGCCAAACAAAGTCAGACGGGCAGACACCCTGTACCACGGTGCTCTCACCCGGCATCGTGTTGGCCACCCTGGCCTACCTCGCGTCGCGCCTTGTCTTCTCCTCGGACGCCGACAGGGAGCATCTTCATCGAATTGTCGAGGACCATGCCGCGAGGATTATTCAAGCCCGCTGGAGGGCCGTTCTTGTGCTGCGACAGCTCCCGCGTAGGGCGACACGTGCCTCACTGGTGCCTTCTTCATCGGTAAGTCCTGTGTTACCGTACTGTCAGTATCCATCCAATGGGGTTATTTTGCTGATTCCCTGCAATTCGTCTCCAGATTACGCCCTTGTCTCGGAAGGCCGTTCAATTTTTCAGCCGTCGCCCACGTTCTCTTGCGTCCGCGACGATGAGTCTTGATTCCTTCGCGATCATCATCCAACGAGCCGTGCGTGCGTGGTATCGTCGACGCTGGCTAGCGGCTCTTCATATTCAAGCTGTTTATCGAGGTTATTTGGTCCGCACTCAACTACGCCGCCGTTATGGCAGCTGTCGAATCTCGGAGATCTCCAAGATTCGTGTTCGATGTGCTGTTGTAATTCAGTGCCACGTCCGTCGCTGGTTGGCGCTCCGTCGAGTAACGGCGGTTCGTGCCTTCAACTTCGCTAGAACAAGTGCTGCGATCTACCTTCAATGTCGGGTACGACGCTGGATCACTCAGCGTCGAAGGAATCGGGCTGCTAGGGTTATCCAGGTCGCCTGGCGGACCCACCGACGCACTGTCGCAGCCGTGCGCATTCAGCGAGCCGTCCGCGAATGGTTAAATCGACGAAGGGAACGTAGCGTGGTGCGTTGTCAGGCCTTGGCAAGGGGATGGCTTGCCCGCCGAATGGTCTCCAAGCGACTTGCTTTCGTGATTACTGTCCAAGCGCTTGGAAGGGCCTTCATTGCTAGGAAGAAGGTCGAAGCTCGCCTCAGCTCCATGCATCGTGCAGCAGTGGTAATTCAGAAGACATGGAAAGGTCATCTGGAGAGGCGGAAGTGAGTTTCATAGATATTGTGAAATCTCGAATAGCAAGTTTTCATTTACCGTCATCTAAATGAGTTCCAGCCTTCTAGAAGCCAATTCTTCAGAGCCATGCCTCTTCCGAGTTAGACTGGCTGATTGGGACAGCTCTATGCAATCAGTTGAGAAATGATACCTCGTTTAAGAGGATCCATTTTCGCCAGGTGTGCGAATGTATTCGGGGTATCCCTCTTGAACGCCACTGTATGCAACCATTAGCCCTATTAGCCAGCAATTCCCATTTGTCATGCTACTCTTAGGCATGTTTGGGACTTGGAATACGCATGCACGGCAACAACATAACTAGGTTAAGCCATCTAGTAGACTTTCTCGTCTCCGCCATCTCCGGTCTTCTCAGTTTTCCCAGGTATCCGCGTAGCCTGATTTGATCTGGCGGCTTCGGTGTGGTTCACGACCACGCACCGGAGTCTTCAACACTCGTTTAGGGGTCCTGGCGTGTGCGGTTCCTTCGTAGCCTTCACTTAAACTCTTTTTTAGGTATCTCGAAACCCGGTCAAAGGTGATTCGCCTTCAGGTCTCGTGGAGAGGGTCGCTGGCACGATACCGCTTCGTGGCACTGCGAAAGCGTAGGGAGCGTGCGGCGCTGGTTATTCAACACTGGTGGTGCGCTGTTCGCCAGCGACAGCGCTTCCTTCGTCAGCTTCGTGCAGTCCAAACCATTCAGAAGCATTGGAGAGCCACCCTGGAGCACCGTGCTCGTGTGCTCCTCGCGATACAGTTGCAAGCGCTTTCAAGGGGCTGGTTAGCAAGGCAGGATATCCGTGTACGTGCACATCGTTGTTTATCGTGTGAGTCTACACGTGACTCATCGGTGTCGGTTGGTTTGATTTCAGCTGAAGTCACAATCCGCGGTTACGATCCAGCGTCACGTCCGTGGTTGGATGGCGAGGCGACAAGTCAAGTGGATGCGGGACCACCTACTCCGCGTGCAGTGCCTCTGCCGCGCGTGGCTTGTGTCTCAGCGCCTGCAGCGTCGTCACGCCGCCGCCACTGTTATCCAGAGAGCATGGAGGACGAGCAACCAACGGAGGGCTTTCTTGCGCACTCGGCAATTGGTCATCTTGGTTCAACGACGCTGGCGTGCCGTCTTGGCAGCAAGAAGGGCTGCAGCATTGCTGGAGACACGCACGGCTGCTGCAGTGACCATTCAATCCTCCTGGAGGGCCCATCTAGCTAGGCGCGAGTTTATCCAGCTTCGAGCTGCCGTTTTGACTATTCAACGCGCTTGGAGGACCTGTAGAACGGAAATGAGCGTGAAACGCGAGGAAAAGGTAGGTATTTGCAGCTTCCGTTCTTTATGCCAACCTGATTTCACGGTCTGAAACATGGTTTGATTCGCTTTTATTGAGCTTAAGGTCATATTTAAAATGAGCATACTTTCGCGGTCTTGTATGGTTTTGAAAGGATCAGATGCAAGGTGTCAGAACACCGAACGACAAGTCTGCGTGTGCTGCATAACCTCTCAGAACAGGAGATTATACGATGGCAACTGATAAGCACCATATTCGATGGCACTGCATTCAATACGAATTCCAACATCGATAAAATGCATCTAAAGTACAGGAATCAATTTGAAGTGTTCTTAGTTTCGAAGTGGTGTCTAATGGAACGTGTAACTCTTGGCACAAAGGTTTTATAAGTGATTTCAACCTTAGTGACCAGTCGTGCCCTTGAAAGCTGCCTCGTAAGTTTGAAGAAGCGGAATTGCAAGCTCTTCTGGATTAAGACTCGGTTAGGAGTCACCCAAACACCTATTTCCAAGCGTTTGTATCACTAAATGAGAAAGTTTTAATAACTTGGAAGTTGGGTCCCACCGCAGGTGTTGTCTGAACACAACCTAGGTCAACATGTGAACTCATGTCCTCCACTGCTTGCCCGCCGGCAACAAGCAGTAAATGAAGTTCTTGTGAAAAATTGTGCCGAGTGATGAAAATTATATTTCCTACGAGAATCTCAAGCGTACAAATCCGTGGGTAGACCCCGGCCAACCCAGCACATCGACACTGAAAAACAACATCCACATGAAGAGCGTACTTTATTTTGAAAACCTGGAAACGGTTTGGACGGTGACCGCGAAAAGCTAAAGCCGACAATTGATCAAAGCGGACGAAGAACTTGATCAGTAAAGGCCATTTACTGGGCAGGGAAGCAAGCAAGTCAAACTGCTGCTGTGTGACAACGCTAGACCACCTCACGTTGCATGCGCGAACCAGAAGATGGGAAGCTCGTCCACACGCGGCATATTCACCAGACTTGGTCCCATCCGGCTACCATTTGTTCCGTTCAATACAGCAGCAGCAGCAGCAGCAGCACGCCTTAGTGGATGAACAGTCCCAAAAACGCTGGACGATGTGTGTAAACTCGTCGGTGATGAAGCCTGCAAGTTGGTTTCGTGACGGCATTCGTGGGTTACCTGAGAGATGTTGAGGTCACGTAAAACGATGGGCACAATTTCCAAGAATAGATTCGTTGTTCTGTAATTTTTTAGTAACTTTGCCGAATATGGTCCAAGGTGATTTGAAGTTGATCTGGTCTTTCTCCTCGCAGGCTGCCGCATTGATTCAACGCAATTGGCGAGCTGCGACGCTTTCTCGGTGGCTGCATCGTCGTCGCAGAGCGGCTCTCAAGATCCAATCCGCCTGGCGCAGTTATCGTGTTCGATGCTGCCTGGCCAAAGCGTCTGTCTCAGCACCGCCACCACCACCGCGCCGCATAGCCCCCGACAGCACCAAGTCGTCACCGCCCCCTCGACCGCGTCGCATCGCGTCTCCTCGCCACGCGAACCCCGGAGGACATTATGCGGCAGTTGCTCGTATTCGACAGCGTCTTGACGAGGCCAATAGACAGGCACGAAGCAACCCACTGCTGCGGATGGGCACTCGCGCGAGCAGCGCCCTCACCAACCTCCTACAGTACACTTCTGTGTCCAGCGTTCTGGAGGCGCTCAGACAACTCGGTAACTTGCCGGTCTCACGTGATTTCCCCTCCATCCCACCATCCTAAATCACTTGCTTGTTTTTTCCCGTGTCGTCCAGAAACAGCCACGCGTCTGTCGCGCGAGGTATGCTTTTGGCTGAGTCAGGTTCCTGCGCCGCGGTCCGCTTCCCACAGCCAACCCTCGGCGCCCGTTTGTCTGCCTCACACCCTCCTCCAACTCTTCCACTCGTGCAACCGTTCCGTGCCCAACGAGGAGATCATGCTCGTCTCGGTGGCCATTCTGCTCAATCTCACTGAACATCGCGAACTGGCGCAACGGCTTGACATTTGGTGGGTGCCTCCACCTGCCGATCCTTCAACCCACTGGCTCACCGCCAAGCTCCATCGCCGCGCGGATGTGTGTGTCGGAAGCATCGATGATGATGATGAAGACAACCTTGACGGCGAGTCCAGCTCGAAAGGCAGCAGTGCCGCCATCTCCGAGGGACTGTGCATCGTTGAGTACCTTTTTGGAATGCTGCGCAGGCTTTGCCGCGCGAGACCTGGCACACTGGTACGTGATTTACTCAACTCGGAATTGTACTATAGACATTTTTGTTTATCTCCTTCTTTTTTTTTGGAATCACCAGAGCATTCGACTGTTCGCGCGCATCTGCTACCTGCTTTCGTGCCTGTGCGGAGCCCTGCCACCCGATCTGGTTCCAGACAACCTGCTACCCTTCGTGGAGGTAATCTTCGGCACTGTTCAGCGCCTCTGGAGTCGCGCCCTCTCGAATACCCCAGTCCGACCTGAGGTGCAGCAAATGCTCCGACGTCACGCCTCCTCCTCCTCCTCAGCCCACGACACCATCGACACCAGACGAGACCTCCTTCGCAAACAAGTCGTGTAGGTTCTAGCAGCCGTTGCTTGTCGCTGTGTATTACCAAAGTTGCTTCAGAACAGACTGGTATTCAAGGTGTCCATGTTGACTTTTCTATGATTCCCTTTTAGGCTTGAGCTGAGACTGGAGCGTCTCCCCTCGAAGCCGCAGATGAACCCGCTGGTGGCCTGCGAGCTTCTTTTCTTGACTCTTGAAGCCCAGAAAACAAGAATTCCACTGACCTCGACGACCACCTCCCATTCTAATGGATCTACTCACTCTGCAGATGTGTAGTGCGTGTCTGCGTGCATGCCTGTGTACATAGTCTTAGTTACCCTCCGTCGAAAATTGTGTTTAATCACTCCTCTGTGGGAGTGGTTCGCTGTTTTTCACTTTGATGCAAATACAACTGAATGCAATATAATGTCACTTATAGTACTGATTGCTTGTTAGTAGTGTGGGACCATTTTTTTCGTCTGGTCATCCATCTTTAGGTGTCAGCATTCGTGACAAATGATGTTAGTCGTGTCTGACGAAATGGGGAGTGGAGCTGTAAAAGTACGAGTGGCTGAATTGCAAGATGAATGAAACGGGTAGCGGGGGAGGGGGAAGTACACGCAGAGTGAGGGTGCATAAGTGGAGGGTTTCGCTTAAGCGATGGCGACGAAGGTCACTGTGGCGGAGAAGGCGACGACCGCCACGGTGAAATGAAGAAGAAAGTGCCTAATTTCGAGATGCTCTGTTCCACCACCAGTCAGGTCTTGGTGTTGTACTTGTTCAGCACCACACCGTACTGCATGCCGCACGTGGCTGACGTGAATAAAGATCTCTACACGAGCTCTGGTCTTGTTCTTGTATTAGCCTGGGAAGGTCGGCTCTACCTTCAGCTAGGGATCTGTCGCCGTTATTTGAGTGGCCTTCTCTTTGTTACGGGCAAACTTAACAGTGACCTACCGCGAATTTCCATAGGTATGTCAGCTCCATGTCCACGAGGATTCTGCCAATTAATTGGCGCTGAAATTGTCGACGACATGGCGGTGGTGTGTCTGCCGAGGCATGATCGTGGCCGTCCTACAGTGACAGCCTCATACCTTCGTGGTTGACTCTTGATCAGCCGACACATTAATGCTGATTTCGAGAACCCGGTATACTACCGACTACGGTAAACAGTGGGAGACATAAGGGCGTAGGGGCGTGGTCAAAGTATAAATGTGAATGGATGCGGAGTGGAAAGTAAATATGCAAGAGAAGCAAAATTATTGTCTGAATAGCCTATGTCACACACTAGGAAATTCCGAATTGAGGTCAAGAGGAATGCTCTTCATGTGATTAATTGAACGCCAGCACACACAATGTGAGTACAGGTAGAAGTGATGGCAGCATATGTGAGTGTGAATGCACGTTGTCGAGTGCCTTAGCAACTTTATGTTGAAGAAATTTCTTGGATTCATAAATCACTCTGTAAGACGAATTTTGATCCCGTGGTATTCAGGTAGATAAACCAGGTCACTGAAAGCATGATCAGGTCATATATTTCCGAAACTGGACAACACGATCATCGCACACACACACACTCGCAACCATTAATTCAGTCTCAGGGCTGGCGCATGTTTCGTTTGATATGAAATGAGGTGTTGATGGAAATAACATTTATTTTTGCCAAACACTCATCCACGTTTAAGCATATTCGCGGCTAAAATGCAGACTGGCATTAAATGATTATTTCTATGAAAACTTCATTTAAAGCTCAGAGCAAACTTTATTTATTTCTTGCATTTTAAATTGGAATCAATCGGCATAAGTTTATATTTTTCACAAGATTAAATACCCGTTTTATTCGGTTGGACTCGTTCTGATGAGTTAAATTTAATCGCCTAGAGTATCAAAGCAATCGCCAAAGCACGCATTTACATTGTAGCACAATCGCGCGAACAATGCAGGCTGGTCTTCTGTGATAATTTTTTTGAAATATCCAGTAAAATAGATTAGGATGCATTCATTATTTATTTATTTCACCAGGCATTCAATTTAGTGTAACTGTACATGTGGCCATCTCATTTGTCACAATCTAGTGTCACGTGCGTAGCGTGACACGTTCAACTTGAGTCCGCAAACAAGTGGCGTCCCGATGTAGTTGAGGAATGTTGTCGTGGCAATAAGCACAAAACAAGGAAGCAAATAGATATTTAATGGAGCTAAAATATCGATATTAATTCGCGTCGATGTTGAACGCGGTACCGCGAAGCAGGCAACACGCTGCAATACACCGTAACCATCACCAGTGTGGAAGACGGGCATCACTGCATGAAGCTCGAGAGCACATTCAAGGACACCAAGTTCACAGAGTTAGAATTGCCTGAGACGTGTGACGAGGTGACTCCAAACCGTCGCAAGGTGAAGTCCACCATCAAGATGGACACCAGCACAATGAAACATGTGCAGGTTGGAAAAAAAGACCACACACATCGAAGGAAACATCAAGGGTGACCAGATGTTGACAGTGAGCTGTGATTGCACGACCACCACCACGATCACATGTGGCACCACCTTGTTTGCACTCATATTTGGGCCTGCCTGTTATCCATTTTAGACCGCGAATGTTGATGTCCTCGTCAGCTAACGAGAATACACAAGAAGATAGACGGAGTAAAATATTACAACACGAATATCCTCCTATCATTTATGCATATTTCATCCTTCGTGTTACCAAGCTTTATTGGATTCCTTAAATGTTCGTATGTAAACAAAAAAATACGCATCACATACATTGTATATCATTCTGGAACTAAATCGATTGCAGCAACGGAATCGTGTTCAAAATGCGAAAAACTGCAATCCAGTGCTACGTATTCTTTAGTGGATATGTTGCCAATCTCTTCGACCAATTGATAGCCAATCACAAAGACTAGCATTTAGGGTCAGGGTAATTCCGACCGTTTTCTCCATTAGCTGATGCAGACTCCTTCAGCTGACGATATGATGCAAGATTAAGTGTTACAAATTAGCAAAACATTGCAATCAGGAACCCCAAATTGCAAATATGGCTTTATTTGGCTAGACGAAATTACGATGCGGATTAATTTAACGAAATATGTTTCAATGAGATAGGACTAATCGCCTCAAATGCATCTCTACAGAGCGAGACCAAGTGCGGTCGGCAATATAGCAGTGGTGTTGATTTATCGGCACAGGGAAAGTGCATCGAGTCAGGCGATCCCACATGCTACACGGTTCAGCTTGAGTAGAATGCGTGTCAACTTGCCACTTCATCCTTCGATG